AAAAAAAAAAAAAAAAAAAAAAAAAAAAAGATCATTACGTAATACGCTGACTGCCAGAAAGATAAAGAGTATTAAAGGCACTACTGTAAATGCAGTTACCAACTTAACTATTATTACTGCAGAAAGGAGACTAACTGTGCAGTAAAAAAAAAGGGCAGTAACTCTGAATATGACCGTAAGCTATAGTAGCCTCACGCCGACATAGAACCACACCTGACTTTACAGTTTCACATCACATAGGCAATCTGTACAGCAAACTCGGGGAATAGTCCGAACTTGGAGACTAGTCCCTACAGGCTACAGCTGCACACAGTATCACAGCAACCACAGGTCTCACTACTTCCACTCTCTCAAAGGCAACCTGCATAGCTGACTTCAACTTGGAGAATAGTCCCTACAGCTGCAGACAGTATCGCAGCAACCACTGGCTCTAACTACTTCCACTTTCGCAAAGGCAAAACCTGTATAGCTGACTTCAACTTGGAGAATAGTCCCTACAGCTGCACACAGTATCACAGCAACCACCAGCTCTAACTACTTCCACTTTCACAAAGGCAACCTGTATAGCAAACTTCAAGTTGGAGAATAGTACTCACAGCAGCACACCGAGAGCCACACCATTATTGGCATAGCAATCATAGCATTGCCTATTCAAACAGCTCCTATGCAATGCCACTTTCTCACTGCACTGAGTCTTCTTTTTTCTAGTATATACTACTCCCACAAAACTGTCCAGTGGTAACTAGCCGCTTATGCAGCTTATCGACTAGTCGTTAGCCAGGCCTAAGCTACGGTAAAAAACCCTCTTCCGCCTGAACTCAACGTCTGCCAGTGGTTAGTATTGCTGTATTTGGCAATTTGCCGCATTCAGCGCAGAAAATGACTACTCTGTTCTGGGTCTGTTGTATTTGGGAACTTTGGGGGGGAAAGGTAACCACCAAATTGGTCCAAAATTATATGGCAAGAGTGAGCGTCAATTGCCCTCTGGAAATCAATGCTGGATGGTGAATGACTGTATGGCACCCCTAAGACCCCTATGACCCCTTTGCTAAAGCCCCAGCCGGTGTGTGTTTGGAACAGATAAGCCTGATGAGACTTGCTGATGGAGGAAACCACCAGGCTCCAGCCACTGCGTGGAAGCTCCTTTCAGTCTGCTTGTCCCACCACCAAATGAGCTGGCCATAGACTGTGATGGACACCAATGGCATATGACAGGGCGTCCAGATACTTCTGAATCTGATTCACCGGACTTTGGCGTAAAGGCATGTCCGTAAAGATGGGCAGGTGGTAGTCTAAGCCATCCTTTTTCTGGATCTTGGTTTAAATTGCAGTTGTGCATGGAAGCCACCACGTGCATCCGAACCATCTGCGCGCCGATTCTGCGGTGGCCTGTTGGTGGAACCTGCTGCTGTATCAAGCAGTTCCCGATGCATCCTCTTCTCTGTTCTTCTCCCGCTGCAATGAATGCATGTTTAGCGGCTGCTTCGTAGACAGTCAAGCTGCTGCATTAATCAGTTTCCGGAGTAACTGTTTTGCACCTACATAGACAACCCATTGCCCAAGCTGCTGCATTAAGCTGCAAAAAAAAGCACTCAAAGTTTCTGAAACCATCATAGATCTCGCTCCTCGACGCTTCTGAGGCTTCTCCAACTGCTCAATGAACTCCCATTTTGCAGCTTGATGAACTGCACAAGTCATGGCAGAGCGTAAGCTTTTGCGGAGTGCAAGCTATAGCTGAGTTCAAGCTAAGGTGGAGTACAAGCTACCGTGCAATGCATGCTATAATGGCAGAGTGCAAGCGTTGGTGGAGCGAGGGGTAATGAAGACCAGTGAGATGGATCTCGCTGCTGCATTAGGCAGTTTCTGAAGCGTCCTTGAACTCGTTCCTGTCCTCTTCTCCAACTGCGATGAAGGCTCGCTTTGCAGCTTCGTAAACGGCCCAAGCTATGGCTGACCGAGGGGCAATCAAGACCACAGCGGGCACCACACCTCGATACAACCCCTTGACGCCTTCGTTCTCGACAATAATTCGCATGGCAGACCACATGCTGCTGAAACCTTGGGGCGAAGGGGCCCATTTGAACACAGGGTCGGCAGCAAGAGAGAAAGTCATGTCCTTTCTTGTGACTTCCAGAGGGAAGGTCAGGAATCGCGACACAACACCTGCTGCAGAACCCATCCATATCGTGTTAAGGCTGCTTATCCTGTCCACCTCCAAATGTCTTCTGATGTACCAGCGTTTCAGAGTGTCATAGGTATAGAAGTTGAAGATCGCATTTGGAACGAGAACGAGCAAAGCAGGGGTCAGCCCACTATAGACATGCCTAATCCCTTCGTTCTTAAGGACCTTCATGAAGGCATCTGTGAGGCCTGTGTACCTGGCAGGTTCTGCAGACATTCTATCTCCCAAAGCGGCAGCAGGGTAGACGGTCAAGGTCCCCATTAACCCTGCAGCAGCTCCTGGAAGGGTGGCGAGGGAAATACCCCTTGGAAAGGGTAGGACCCGAGGTTCCTTACCCCTGGGGACTTGAAGGATACGCCTCCGAACGGTCTCATAGGTTAAAAACTCAACCCCCTTCGCCACCGAGATGATTAGCACATTCGTAAGGAAAGAAAATAGTCGAAGGCCTTGCATTCTGAGTACACTTCCAAGAGCCTGAGGTGTGGAAGGAGGTGGTGCCTGTCCCACCACCATCCTTGTCACCAGAACGCTCAAAGGGGCCACTGCTGTCGCTGAGGCTCCACCTGCAAGGGCTCCACATAGCAGCTGCTTCACTTCCAAGCCCCTCACAGGTCCCACAGGTGGGATATCAATCCTAGTCACAGGAATTCGCAAGTCCTTGCCGATTTCCGACAGGTGCCTCGAAACCTCCGTTACAACCTGCTTCGCTCTCATGTCCGCCGAGTTCATCTCCTCCGTCAACTCGGTCTTATAATCGTTCGCAGACAGCTGAGCATTGCCTATCTCCGATAAAATCCGTTCTCCTGCCATCTTCAGCCGCTGCAGTCTCATGTCCAAGCTCATCTCATCGTCCGATACACCATCGCAACCTTTCCTCGACAACTGAGAACCGTTCTCAGACATTTGAGAACGGTTCTCAGACATTTGAGAACGGTTCTCAGACATCTCAGATGGGTTTGTTGGACTCACGGATTGGTCAGATTTTGGCATCCCAGGGCTCTCCTGAGCCTTGGTCTCGGCAGGTTTGTCTTCGTGCACATGACGTCCATGACGATCCTCCTCTCTGGTGACCAGATGATCCCTTCGTTGACTATGGTTGACCAGTTTGCACTTCTTCTCGGGCTCTGCTCCTCGCTGACCTTTGGCGCGATGCCTGACGCCTGCATCCTCTGGCAGATCTTCCGCCATAGCCAGCTGGTTCCCTGTCTGCCTGCCAAGTGTCATCCTGCAATCCTGGTTACCGTTTTCGTTCTTCTTCTCTTCCTGTAGGAGATGGCCACGTTCCTGCCTCGACTCCTTACCTGTTCGCTCTGGCCTCACGGCCTCTCTCTCTCCCATGTCACCTTTACCTGATGATCGGAATACACTACCTGACCGGGATCCCTGGAGCAGGCGCAAGCTTGTGGCTGCTGCTAACAACCAACTCCTGCCCGTGAGTGCATCCTGCCCGTCTCCTTTGACATCTCCGTTCTTCTCTCCCCATCCCCCCTCCTGCAATACCCCCTCCTGAGGATGGCAAACCCCATGATGTGAACCCCTTCCATTCACTCGATCTGTTTCCATCCCCGCCTCTCTGTCTTCGACGTTTCCTTTCCCACATCCATGCAGCAGATTCAAGCTCGTGGCCGCGAATGGTGCTCTCCTCGATGTCCATCTCCTCCTCATCCTCCTTGCCAATCCTCGACCCACACTACCGAGTAGGCCATCGCCATCGCCATCGCCAAGACCTTCGTGCACCCGATGACGAAGATGATCCGTCGGCTGGAAACCGATCACTACGTCACCCCCACCTCCCCCTGCATGGTATCTCCCATCTGTCTCGAGAGAGAGAGATTCCAGCACCATGGAAAGTTCTAAGTCCCCAGCAATCGTTCCGAGCTGAAAGCTCTCTGCATATTTTGAATCGTCGTTGAGGATCTGACGAGCGGTCCTGGAAGAAGACGAGGCTGCTGCGGCAAACAAGCGGCGGAAGCGGAAACCATGGCCGCCGCCATAGCCGCAGCTGTGGGAGGAGACCCAGGACGTCTTTCCCCGAGGAAATTCCACCTGCTTTTCTGGTAGAGAGCTGCTGGTGGGGACCACCATCGCGCTTTCTTGTAGTGCTTGGAGTTTGCGTGAATCTAGCACGCTGATCCCCACCCTCGAGTTCCTCTTATCCGTTAAATTCGCAGATCTATCCTCGTCGAGAAGACGAGGCAACCTTTTCGACGACGCCATGGCCGTTCGAGGGGATCGGCAGCGACCTCTATATCTCTCACATGGAAAGAGATCAACAGCAGAGAAGCAGAGGAGACTTCCCGGCGCCCTTGACGCGTTCCACTGTGCCTTCCGTTCTCCTGCCCCGACCCCTCCCTCCTCTTCTCTAGTCAACCTGGAGCCTTCTCCCGCACTATCAGGGACCGTCACTACTACTTTCAGAGGAGGCGCGGCGGCGGCGGCGGCGGAGGAGGAGGAGGAGGAGGAGGAGGAAGAAGAACAGGAGAAGGATTACCATGGGAACGCTATGCTTACGTCTAAATTCTGGTGCGGAAGAAGAAGAAGAAGGCGAAGAAAGAGAGCGGAGAGGAGGAAGAGGAGGAGCAGGAAGAAGAAGAAGAAGAAGAAGAAGAAGAAGAAGAAGAAGAAGAAGAAGGATGCTATTGGAACGCTCGGAGGAGGAGGAGGAGGAGGAGGAGGACAAACGACGACGAGGCGACGACGAGAGGAAGAAAAAGAAGAAGGACGACGGCTATTTGAATGTGAGTTGGACGACGACGACGAGGCGACGACAAGAGGAAGAAAACGAAGAAGGACGACGGCTATTTGAATGTGAGTTGGACGACGACGACGACGAGGAGGAGGAGGAGGGGGAGGAAGAAGAAGAAGAAGAAGAAGAAGAAGAAGAAGAAGAAGAAGACGGCAAAAAAAGAAAAAGACAAAAAAAAAGACAAAAAAAAGAAGAAGAAGACGGCTATTGGAATGTTAGGAGGAGGAGGAGGAAGAAGACGAAGAAGAAGGGGAAGAAAAGAAAGACTGCTGTTGGAAATTTCATGCTTACGTAATACAAACGTCCTCCAGCGGCGCCATCAACTCTTGCATGCCTTTTGCCGTCCCCCGAATAGAACGCGCTGGCACTATTTCACTGCAGAAACATCCTCGCAAGGAAGGCTGTTCTTTTTTCTTCTTTTCACTAAGCCTCGTAGACAGCACTGTTTCCTCTTTCCACCAAGTCCCCCCCGCAGCTCGAGTTCTGATTCCTCCCTCCCCTCTGTCGCCCTCTCCCTTCCCTTCTCCCTCTTCTCTTTTCTCCTACCTACTGACCTCACACCTCCTTGCTCCTCTGCCTTTCTTTTCTCTCTTTCGGTTCTGTTTTCTTGATTAATGCATGTCACGCTCACCTTTGCGCCGGGGCCATGCTAATCAATCTTCTCTGCATCGTGTTCCCGAATTGACAATCTTCTGTTTCTTCCCCCCCTCCCCCCCCCCCCCTCCCCACTCCTGATAACCCCCATCCGTGTCTTTCTTCTTCCTATTTCTTCCCTCTTCTCCAGGTGAAAAAATCGTCTCCCTCCACACTATTCCCCTACCGGGCCTACCGTCTTCCCACGAACACAAAGCACCCTGATAACGAATGCACAGTACGAGCGATCTTTCCCGACCGATACATGCATGATACCCCTGCGTTGGAAGTAATGCAGGTAGGCCCCCCCAAGGCGAGACGCAGCGAAAACTCGCATCCTCATCCCTCGCTCTCACTTAGTCGTCCGACGCGTTTTGAGTCCGTTTGACGGACCGCGAACTGGATTAGGGCACACTGAGAGCTGTCTGCATGCAAGAAGAGTCACTAGGTAATAGTCTAAATGCCCTTATGCACCCCGTCCTCTCTCTATCCATGTCTGCGTACGGTAGTAGTGTGTAATAGTCTAAGGGCCAGATCCCCCTAGCATCTATTGTTCATTTCTGACCGTTGATCTTAGTAATCGAGGGTGAAAAATGAATAATCCAGGGTAGTGGGATCTGACCCTAAAGGCCCTTACGCACCCCGTCCTCTCTCTATCCATGTCTGCGTACGGTAGTAGTGTGAATACTTGAGTGCATGCCCTCCTCATGCACCCCGTTCTCCTCTATCTATTACCGGACCGTCAGCCTTCGCCACCTGGAGATATGCCGTTGGCCCCCCCGGCTGGCATTGCGCAGAGACTGCCGATGTTCATAGGGGGAGGGGACTGGAGGCCCGGAGGGGAGGCACAGTGACTGGCCCATCGGAGCGTCAGCTTTGACCAGCCATAAGTCTCCGATCGAGTCCGACAGAATCTTTATTTTTTCAGAATCTTCAGTCTTCAGAGCAGACTCAGTGCGGACACACGCTCCTCGCACGAGGACTTCGCAGTATGTGTCTGACCGGAGTGGTCAGGTATGGGCCTCCTAGACACATTCCGCCAACGCGGTCTGTGCCGCGAGCGGATCAGTAGATTAAATACGTATGGCGACACTTGCCTACAGGTAGGGCGGCATTGGTTGACCGTCGATCTTCGTTATATCTACAGTCACTATCTCCTTTTGCCATTTTGGGGGAGACATCGTCAGAGGTCCCAGCAACTGAGGGTGATACGAGTAATAACCCCGTTAGCCGATTGCCTCATGTTTGTCCGATGGCTCCCATCTAATGGTGGGTCCACCTGCTGAAAAGCCCAGTAGCGTCCCCTCTTTTTTTTTTTTTTTTTTTTTTTTTTTTTAAAGAGTAGCGTCCCTTCCTCATTGTTATTGTCAGTTTTTTGGTCTTTTTCCTTTTTTCGCCTATCACTACCTTCCTACCACTACTCCTAAGACTATATAGAGGGGACCCCTACAAGCATAGGGCCTCACAAATGAGGTAATTCATGTTGGGCCCCGCCCCAACAGGGGTAGTCTTTTTTTTTGGGAAAAAGCAAGGAATTCATTATAAGAGCATGAGGCCAGGAATTCCTCACAAACAACCCGGCACAGGAACAATCAAGTGCTGGGATTTCCCAGGGTTCACAGTGGGCTTCTGCGCACCTACTCGCCTTCCCTAGACTCTCTCTCTCTCTTTTAACGTTTTCTTCTCAAGTCCTAAAAGAACATGGTTGGGCCCCCTTGAGGTCGATGCTCCTATCACTACCTCAAGCGGCACTCTCCACCGAAGATCCTTCAAAAAAAAGAGAAAAAAAAAGAAAAAGAGGAAAAGAAAAGAAATAGTGGTCAAAAACGAAAAAGAAGAAGAATTACATGATCAGGGGTCTGGGGTGAAGTCCCACCGCCGAAGTTGAGTTTTTGCAACGCTGACCTTTCTATCACGTGTGGCCTGGTGAGACTGAGCTCCGCCGTTGATGTATTGAGAATGTAAGGGTACCGAAATACAGGAGAATAACCTATTAGATTTGGTCGTTTTGTACATTTTTTCTTTGACGTGAATTCCGTTTTGTCGTATGTTTTGGCCCTTTCCGTTTGGGCGGGAAACCATTTTCCATTGAGAAAACTATACATTTCTCAACTTATGTGCCTTTCGTTTTTTTGTCTTTTTAGACATCATTACACCCTGAAACGGAGGAACTTTGACAGTTGTGGTTGGCTCTTTGACAGCTGTGTTTAGCTCTCTCGCATCAAACTCTCTTCCTTCTTTGGGCAATGAACGCATCTGGCCATCCATGTTGTCCCTGTCCATTTTACAAATGGTGACCTCCTGTCCCCTCACCACGGGAAGTATCCTTTTTCCACGGAGACATTCACTCCAACTGTGCCAGACGTGTTTTTTTCGCCGAGTTACTTAATAAAAAATAAGGAGAAAAGCTGTTTCTAGCGTTTTTTTTTTTCAGTTTTTTAATTTTCTGTTTCGAATTTATTAATGTCAAAATGGTGTCACACGGTTGCGTTTTCTAAACTTAAACTTGGGCGGTGGGACTTCATCCCTGGTCCCACCTACAGCGTTGAGTTTTCTCAGCGCTGATCTATCACGTGTGGCATGGTGGCACGGAGCTTTGCCGTTGATGTATTGCGATCTAATGGTACCGAAATACAGGAGAATAACCTATTAGATTTTGTCATTTTGTAGAATTTTCCTTTGACGTGAAATCCATTTTGTAGTATGCTTTGGCCCTTTTGGTTTGGGCGGGAAACTATTTTCCATTGAGAAAACTACCCTACCGAGGGTAGGGTACATTTCTCAACTGCAGCGCCTTTCCTTTTTTTTGGTTTTATAGACATCATTGCATCCTGAAATGGAGGAACTCTGACAGCTGTGTTTGGCTGTCGGGCATCAAACTCGTTTCCTTCTTCAAGTTTGGGCAATGAATGCATTTGGCCATCCACGTTGTCCCTGTCCATTTTACAAATAATAACCTCAAATCCCCTCACCACGGGAAGTATCCCTTTACGGAGACATTCACTCCCACTGTTCCAGACATGTTTCATTTCTCCCCGAGTTACGTTATAATAAATAAGGAGAAAAACTGTTTTTTTTTTTTTTTTCTATATTATTCTCTCAACTTCTGTTTTTGCCTTTCACTACCTACTCCTAAGGCTATCTAGAGGGCACCCCTGCAAGCATAGTTTCCTTTCACTGTGAAGGGGAGATTTCACTGTGAGAAAAGTTGTTTCAACTTTCTGGCATTTTTTTTGCGTTTTTTAAATTCTTGTTTCAAATTTATTAATGTCGAAATGACATCAGACTGTTCAGTTTTCTAAACTCAACAACGGTAGGTGGGACCAGACCCCAGGATAGTCAAAAACAGGGACGACAAGTTATCCTGCCCCACCAGGCGCCTGGAGCCCCATCCCTGCATACACAGTGTCAACACTTTTTACCCCAACGCTGCACCAGCTCTGCCACAAAATTTAATCCCACTACAAAAACAATCCCTATTCCCACCAGTTCGAACTCTTTTTTTTTTTTTTTGGTAAAGTATATTTATAAAAGTTGGGAACCGGGCCCAGCGTCGCTCACAAAATTAGGTGGGGCTCTCGGCGGGCAAAGCATCACTGGACAAGTATATCGAGGGTACCACTAGATTTCACCCTGCAGCCAACTCCACAGCCAAATCCTCAGCCCCTACCACTGAAATATCACCGAAATTTATCATCAAAGTCTAAAGTTCATCACCAAAAATTATAATAGCAATAGTCATGTGAACCCTAATTTAGTGACTCAAATTCCACCGTCCATTAAGAAATCTTGTGCAAAAAGAACCACCGAAGAGAAACGAATCAAAACCACAAAAAAAAAACGAGCAGTCAGCGCTGTGTGATCATGTCCACCATTCATCCGGAGTTATTACCAACACCTGCCAATCCGCCCTACCACCCGCGCG